TTGCTAATATTTATAATTCATTCTCTTTACTTAAGTTTAATCGTCCCTCTCCCAACATCATATGCTTATAGTGATTCCCAGTGAACCCACTATCCAGAATCGCTGTAACACTAGTCTTTCTTCATTATTTCCTGCTCCTTTACAAGATCTTAATGACAAAGATCTTTTGTTATGGTTAAAAAGCCAATATAATATAGTTCATCAAAGATACCAAACAAAACTTCAACAGTCTACTAAGCATCCTATTACAAGAAAATGTCTTTCTAATATTTTAATTGCACTTATTACAAATATTTTAGAACAAAGTGTCAAAAGACTTAAAGTAAATATTTATTTTTATTGTTTTAAATATTATAAGTATCTAATATTTGTTTTTTATTATTTAAATAGAAATTTCTTTGAAATTTATGGAAAATTAGTAAATATCATTTAAAACAAAGTATTAACAAAATTCCACAAAATATTCAATATACATGATTTAATGAAGCAGCTATAAAGTTTAAAGAATTTTCTCATATAGAATCTAATTGAATATATCATAAAGCACTTTGTCAATCTATAAATAATAGAGGTAAGTTATCAAAAATAAAATTATTTTACTATTAAAGAAGTTTATCATTTATTATTTTATTATAGTGGATTATAAAATCAATTGTGAAAAAAAAATTATGCAAGAACTCGATGAGCTTTTCAAACAGAACTTGAAGGTCGAATACTCAAATCTAAACAAAATAGAAAGGAACAAGAAGTTTTTAATCAGATTTCAAGTCATAATGAAGAAGAAATGATTTTGGATAATAATAATGAATTTCAAAGTGATTATGAAAAAATTGATAATGAAGATCAAGAGTTTACTGATGATAATTTTAATATGGAAAAAAATATATATAATACAAGAATAGGTATATATTTTAGTTTATTTTATAATATATTTTATACTTAAAATATATTATTTCTAAGATATGTTATTAGAAATACCATCCAGATCAAATTTATCTTATAAGTTCAGAAAAAATAATAAAAAAACTTTGAAATAAATATTATCATTTTTCAATTTTAATAAATTTGTTATTAATCTTATATTATTAATATGGTGATTACTTTATTTCTAGTACGCTACCAACTGTACCTTTGGCACTGATCGAAAAAAAAAGAAAACCTTATAATTACGTCTCACAAGCAAAAGAAATCACGAAATCAGAAACTTAAAGATCATGTAATCTCTAGTGATGAAGAAATTCGTCAAATTGATACAGTCAAGCCCAAATTGAAAAGATCTCGTAATGATACTATCTTACAAACATCTGTTTCCAGCTCATCACAGATCAACGTTGGGTATTTGCTTCGTAAGTAAAAGAAGATCTTGATATTTTATTTGAATAAGTGCTAATAATTTTATATTTTCTAATAGGATCTGGCAAGGAAACAACTTTGCAAGAACTTTCTGAAGCTAGAAGCATGAATAATCTGAATTATTTGATCAAATCAAATGCATCTCGTGGCAAAAGCAGCAAGAATCGTGTCAAAAGCAACTTAAGAAAGACGAGCAGTGGCCAATCGTAGAAGGCATAGAGTAGACTAGTTATTCAGTGTAGTATAAGTAATCTGTATTGAGAGATGTGAATGCAATTGTGATTGTATCTGGTCCGGAATTTTACATAAATAGAATTAACCTTATATAGAATGGATCTGGTATGCGCCTGAAATTTATACATGTATATACATGCTATATATATCTGGAAAATATAAGTAATCTTAAATCCTATATGATTATTCCGTATGCATTTGTACGGAAAATGCGTCCATCTGCATACTGAATTAATTCATGACATATTGCTAAGAAATTGCTTACGCATCACATAAAATACCTGATGCATTTTTCCCGTAGGGTAAATGAAGTGATAAGTGGTTGAATGAATTTATGAACCACTACCATCTCAGCGTTCAGAGTTGTACTATAGTTTTGCAAAAATTACCAAGCGAGTTAGAGTCAACACAATATCAGTTTTTAAGTTTTGTGTTATATCAACGCATTCAATATAATTATCCCTTGGCACTAATTGGAAATATAGATAAAACATCACTTATCTTTGATGTTCCTAATAATACAACTATTGAAGAAACTGGAGCAAGCACTGTTAGCATTCGGATAACAGGACATGAAAATCCAATTTTACCATTGTATTAACATGTATGGCTGATGACAAAAGTTACCTCTAGTATTGATTTTTAAATTGGTCAATGTTACACACCAAAAGTTTCCTGCTGGAGTGATCAATCGAGAAGGTATATAAATAATGACGAAATGATTTGGTAGATCGAAAATGTGTGGAGTCAACGTGCCTGTTAAACATCGATTCAATGAAAAAAATACAAACATGGCCATAATTCTGGATATATTGATCAGCAAACTTCAACCATTAGATGTATATATAAACAAATCATTTAAATCAAAGGTAAGGTTAAATATTTTTGTATTATTTATTCGATGTACATGTATTAACTTACATATTTATTTATTATAGTATCACCAATTATAGTATCACCAATTATATAATAATTGGATGGCAGAAGAAACAAAAAAATTGACACCTTCTGGTCGCATACAACGTCCAAGTTACAGTATTGTTGCTGAATGGGTAAAAATTGCATGGGACCAAGTTGATACTTATCTTATTAAGCGTTCGTTCAAATGTTGTGGCATCTCTAATGCCCGTGATGGAACTGAAGATAATTGTATTTTTGATTATGGTTGGGTTGAACAACCTCAAAGGTTTGCTCAAAATTCTATACGTAATTGAAAATGAAGATGATAATTCAGGAAACGAAGATAATAATTTGGAAACTGATTTGGGAAACGAAGATATTAATTCGGGTATCGATTTAACTCAAGATAATTTGTTGAAACAATTGAAGGTACATGTAATACATTATCACGAAGTCATCCAATTGATAGTTTGAAGATGAGTATTATAATATCAAAACAGTTGATTTTACAAATGTATGGAATTAGACTTGGGTATATTGTTAGGAGGATACAAAGTTAAAATTTATGATGTATCCGGATATAATACATTTTACCAATATTAAAACCTATGAATTAGACCCGGTACAATTCATGGGGGTATGATGTTATTGGGGTATTCTAAACGGCAAATTACGGTAGTTTTTAAACGGTAAGTACATTAAATAATATAACGATAATGATAACATTATAATTGATGTAATTATTGTAGCATATGATTAGGAATTGTACTTGTTGACTCCAAACGACGTTTTCGGGTTGGGGAAGGAATTATAATTTGTTCTTCTATCATTGTTCTCATTACTTTCTACACAGTGAAACTCGAGTTCGGGAACATCTAACGCTAACACTAACACTAATTAAAAAGATCCTTTTATTTTTTCATTAATCTCTTTAATTCTTTGGTGTTGTTGTGAAACAGAAATCAACGAGAATGGAGTTTCTTTCAAGAAGAGGGATGAAACATTTCCAATATCATGCTTGAAACTGGTGAGTGGAATTGAAGAAGAGGACGTAACTAAATAACATGCATAAAAGGAAAATATTGATTTTTATAACGTTTTGCGTACCCATATAACGAACACTCATGAACAGAGATATCAACGCTAACGTTAACGTTATACTAACGCTAATGTTAGATTAATAGTAAACGACGACTATGACAAATTGCTAGGATCAAGAAAATAACAAAATGACATTACTGCGTTTTTTGTTACTCTAAAAAAGAAAATTTAATTTAAGTATAAAATAGCTATTTTCTTCCAATAAAGTGCAGTATTTTTCTTTTGATATTTCCATATTTTGTTGGTGGTGTTTCGTTATGAATTTGTAAGGAACTCTCTTCCTCTTCATCTATCTCGTTGATTTCATCTTGAACCTGTAGTTTTTGTTGCAAGACACTCAGTATCTCTTCATCCTCTTTAATTTCATGTGGTATACTCAAATCGAAATCGCTTGGAACAAACAAACTGACATTCGTCAACCCTAAACATTTGATATAAACTTTAATTAATATGAAATGTTAATATGATTTATATTTCAAAATAGAAAATACCTGTCTCAGTCGGAATTGAAATTAGTTTTGTGGTAAAGATTCGACTGGTGTAAACTGCTTTTGAGTGGATTTGTTTTTTGTTCGTATTCGTAGGAATACTCTTTTTTAATTTCATCTCCTTATCAAGTTTATTCCATTTCTGCTTTTCTAGTTTAAAACACTCTTTAATTTCTTCGCGTGTCTTATTTTCTAAAGAGCTGAAGTACTGAAAATGCAAATTATTCGGTTTGCACTCATCCCCATGAAAGTGGATAGCGTTAATAAAGTTCCAAAGCTCCTCAACAGTTGGTCTGTTTTCTGGAATAGGATCCCAACATTTTTCAATAATAAACTTGAATAATTTAGGAACATGATTTGGTATCGTAGGTCGTACTCCATTATAGATGTCTAATACGAGATCTATATCATGACTTCGTTCACCGAATGGTCGTTCACCTGTGGCAACCTCGTACGCTATCATCCCGAAACTATAAATATCTGCAGCTTTAGTGTATGGTCTTCCATTTAGTACCTCTGGACTCATATAAGGAAGTACTCCGCAAATTTTTTGATCAGAATTTTCTGCTGGGCCGAAATCAACAATACAAAGAGTATACTTTATTATTATATTTCCAGGGTGAAAGTCACGATGCACAAATTTATCATTGTGAATTTTCATCAACCTTTTAATGATATCATTTAAATATCGTAATTTTTGGTCCCAAGTCAGTGCTTCGTAGTTGGAATTAATATATTTGCGTAGATCGCCATCTTTTGCATAATCCATCACTATCGAGTATTCATTTGTAGCTGGATTTTTAGTTATTCCATAATAATCAATAAAGCTAACATTGCACTTTAGAGCAGTCAGAATCTAATTTTGAAAAAGTTAATTGATTGAAAAACAAAATAGCAAGATGCTTACACTTACACTTGAAGGTGTTTATTTACCTCATTTATAAACTCGGGTGTAATTTGTTTTGAATCGTGTAATGATTTCAACACAACTTGACATTCTCCCCATCGTATAAATTTATTTTCTTTATGATCCCACTGTTTCAATTTTCCGTCCAACCAGGATGCTTTATAAATTGAAGCAAAACCACCTTTTGCAAGATATTCAACATTGGTAAATCTTTCAAAAGGGATCCATTCGAATACTTTATAGTCATCATTATTATTGCAATCATTTATTAGACTGTCGATATCTTTATTTCCACTAGACCATTCAACATAAATTCGTTTGTAATATAGAAAACATCCAATACATTCAACATTGTTTTGACATTCGGTACATTTACTACAATCATGAGTCTTCGAAGATTTAATTCCCATCTTTGAGTTGAATAGTGATGATGACAGTGATTTATGTCCCAAACGAAGATTTATATGTGGTGGAGTGGAAGTCGTCGTCGTTCAGATGTGTTTGTCAAACGATTGATGCATGAAGAAGAGTAAAAATACCCACCCCTCTATATATGGAAACTAAAACTTTTACCGTTACACTTTAGAATAAATACGTACGTACTATTCTATTTCGAGATCTTTTTAGGGATAACGATAAGCAGAAACGCCAAATTAATGAGTATACATGTATTAAATTCTGCAATATCGATAATGAAATTGTGGAACATTTCCAACACAAATGAATATCTTACAAACTTTGAAAGATCATTTTCCAAACTTTCATTCATGAACTTTGCATGAGTTTAGCCACAATGCCAAATTTTAACACAATAAATGCTAATAATTAAAAATGTTCATCAGGTTCCATTCTACATATCGATATTTGCAAATTTTCATAAAGTTTTGTGCAAAACGTAAAAATATTTGGAACTTATGTGAATTTACAAAGATTACGTAGTCAGATATATGGATCAGTGAAAACCTATAATTAATTTTGGGTATATACGTAGTTTTTTTTGCCATTTTGGAATCTGCAATTGTCCAAGTTAAATATATTTTTTAATATTTAATATGAAATAAAACTCCACCAGTGTGTAGATATACCTCTTCCTATTACAAGCTGAAAATATTATTTTAAATTAAAAGTGCAGTCAACCTCTTTATAATCACTCTCTATATAGTCACAAGTTCCATATAGTCGCATTTTCTCAAGAACTAACTTATTATCGTTATGAAACATCAGAAATTTGATCTCCATATAGTCATAACCTCTTTATAATCACAGTTTTTCACGTCCCGAGGGGGAGATCTGACTATATTTAGTACTAATTGAATTCAATTCAGAATTGACATGGTTTTTATTATTAATCGAGATCATGGGATGATGGATACTGAGCTGTTGTGTTGATATTCAAGAAAAGTAAAATAAAGAATTTCTGAAGTGCAAGCAAGTTGAATACTCGATAGTAATGGATGGCGAGTTACAAAATACTGTATATTAATTCTAACCATGAATAATTAATTGACTTTGGAAGAAATTAAGATATTTACTTGATATTCTCAATTGGCGGAGTAGAATTCGCAGAGAAATTTGTCATTGTTAATTTCATTCTGCAAATATATTATGCTTTCATTGTTTACTGGTCCAGCAGATCTAAAATTTACGTATATCAGTCCAGTAGCATTAAATTAATATTTATAGTTTGAAGGATGAGATTGTAACTTATGAACTGCCATTTGATAAACAAGTTATAATAGAGATCTCGTATTAGACATCTATAATGGAGTACGTCTACGATACCAAATAATGGTGTAAATTTATTATCGTTATTAAAGAATGCTTTAATAATTGTCCCAAAACTCCTTTTGCAAGTTATTTAAAAAATGCATAATCTTTCAATATTTTCATTTCCACTTGACAGATCAACTTTATGATATAGAAACCATCCATCACAATACTCATTTTTTTGACAATCATTATACTCACTGCAATATTAAGCATTGTGATCTAACGTTAAACATTCTAGACAGCAGTTATAGTGACAAAGAGCGTTGTGATCTGATCCGTTCAAGGATTGACTGCTCTGTAAAAAAAAATCAGGCAAAAATCCGGTTTTTTTAGTTTCAGGTATATATAGATATAAAATTTCCGGAAAAAAAAATGGGGACAGGTTTAATCCAGACAAAAAAAATACATCATTCGATTTGTCTAGTCTTGGCAAATCGAATGGCGATATTTTCATCCGGATTGAACCTGTGGATCACGAGATATCGCGTTCCAAAGTTACTGGATCAATTTTTTAATTTTTTTTGCTCAAAATTAAAATTAATGCATTATTTCCAAATACACCATCATTAAATTCATCTAGTTTTGGTGAATTTAATAGTAGTAATTTTTACAAAAATTGTCTGGTAATTTTTAAGATATCATGTTCAAAGTTGCTAAATTTTTTAAAACACTTGATCTGAGTTACAGTTCCGGCGGAAAGTAATGGTGGGACGTGTTTTTTGTAGATATTTCGGGGAGGATTTATCCAAAAGTCATAAAAATTTGTGTGAAGATTTTTAGGATGCTAGGAACAAGATTTGCTAAGGTCATAAATTATGTTAACATAGTAATATTTTGCGTTATTTGGTTTCAAAGTTGGCGAACTGGGGGCTACTTGGGGATACCCCCAATTAAGTAGATTAAAAACATTATTTTCAATAAGCAAGCATGAAAATATTTTTGTGAAAATATATTTGAAGATATAAAAAATATATTAGCAAATTTTAAAAAATTTTTAGTTCATACTTATTGGATAAATGACAGTCGAAAAAAAGGCTTAATTTGGATGATTTTCTTAATAAATTATAGTAAATGATAGTAAAATTATAATTTACTATGATTCATTAAGAAAATCATCAAACTGAAAATTTTTTAAAATTTGCAAATATATTTCTTATATCTTCAAATATATTTTCATAAAAATATTTCATGCTTGCTTATTTTTAATCTACTTAATGGGGATCCCCAATATAGCCCCCAGTTCGCCAACTTTGACACCAAATAATGCAAAATATTACTATGTTAACATACTTTATAATCTTAGCAAATCTTGTTCCTAACATCCTAAAAAATCTTCATAAAATTTTCATGACTTTTGGATAAATCCTTCCCAAAATATCTACAAAAAACACGTTCCACTATTACTTTCTGTCAGAACTATATGATATCTCATGTTTCATCTGGTCACTATTTCATTAAATCTCAATAAATATGTGATTTATTTTTATCAAATTTGGTTTATTGAGTCATAAATCTTGGGACATGATATTCTCTAATCAACAAATTCAATAATATTACCATTCGACTCATCTATCTTGATTAATTGAATGATATATTTTTTACCTGGATTGAATTAGTAAATTGTAAGATATCATGTTTTAAAGTTATCAGATAAAATTTTTTTATTTTCTGATTTTAATCTAGGAATTTTATAACTAAGCCTGTGGTTTTCTGTGACTAAAAAACTGTATTTTTGCCTAATTTTTTTTAATACTTAAACACTAAAATAAAATTAGCAATCTCTAAAAGAAATAAAGCATCAAATAGTAACAATACAAAAAAAAGACTGATATTTTGAAGCTATGCCAATTTACTACAAACAGCTTCTTTTTAATCACTCATTTCTGACTTATATAAATTTAAAAATATCATGTTTTCATATAAGTAATGACCAATGAGACATATAACAAGACTGTGAGCAACAAATTAAATAATGAGACACATAAATACAATTTTTTTGTTGAGATCATAGTTTTTTGTTTGGATACATGTTAAAGTATAACTCAATAAAAGAAATTTATCAAACTTGAAGAATACAATACATATTATAATTCATAATTATGATGCATCATATGGAGATTTGACTTCCAAAACAATCTAGATTTGGTTTGATAATTTTTGACTGGAGTTAAATTAGTTGTGGAATCAAATCCGTCCACAAGATTTTGCAGTAAGTCACTTAATTTTATCATAAAGTATCATTTAAAAGATTGATTATAGAGTTAGAATCAGGGTTAGGTTTAGAGGTTGAGTATGATTATATGTAATATTGCCGTCCTAACATTTTTTTATTAGAACTCCAAGTTATTCATTTTCTTTTGTGTCAGATTTGTTTATCCGAACTGATCAAAAAGAGTGTGACTTCCAGTGACCCAATTCGAGCAAAAATACCACCATTCATCAAGATGAACAGAATGGTTCGAATTGGACCGCTGGATATTGAAATTTTTTTCAAACATCGATTTTTGAAAATCAATTTTTTAGATAATTAATTACCATGTCAATAAAAGAATGGAATTATTTTTCCAATAAATTTGCTATAAATTGAATTATATATCTTTTCTTAACGTTAATACTGTATTTATTTTCGAATTTATTTACAGATTATAAGAGTCAAGTCGATGTATTTTCTAGAATTCTGCATAACAGTACATAATTGTTTGCCTGAATATATTTTAATTGTACCGTATTAGAAAACAGAAAAGCATCTTGGTTATACTTAAAAATGTAATTTACTTTGAAACATGTAATGATTTCGCATTCTTTATGTCGTCTAAATTATTTATTTTATGATCCCACTTGTGGGGGTCCGTCCAACCAGGTTGCTTTATAAATTGTTCAAAACCACCTTTTGCAAGATATTCAACATTGCTTCAAAAACATGTCTACAAATTTAAAATTTCCTAATCTTTAAAAATTCACCACCATTACTTTCGTCTCGGACTGTACTGTGAGATTATCAAGCATATTATTCTTTTCGGCCTTGTCATTCTAGTTAATCAGTCATTTATTTGTATACACTCATGTATATAATAGTAATCTTTAACAATTTAAACGAGCATTTTATTCAATGACTATTATTTTAAAGGAAGCTAAATCTAACATATAATCCATAGATATAATAATATTCAGCTATTATTTTATGAAATTTTGCTTAGCAATATCGTTCTAACAAAATAGTTACTCACTAGATCCAATAACATCTACCATTATTATCACCATTAGAATTGCCATTGAACTTTCCCCAATTATCATTACCATTATTATTTCCATTCCATTTCCCACAATTATAATTACCATTATTATTACCATTATAACTTCCCCAATTGTTGTCACCATTATTATTTCCATTCCATGATCCGCTATTAGAGTTACCGTTCCGGTTTCCGTTGAACCAACCAAAATTATCGTTCCCATTATTGTTTCCGTTGACAGAGCCTGTGTTATAGTTTCCATTGGCATTGCCGTTGTAACTTCCCACGTTTCCGTTACCGTTGTTGTTACCATTGTGGTCGCCTAAAGGGATTGGTGTCGCGGAGACGATCACAGTTTGGAAGAGCGTGATTAGTAGTTGAGAAAAAATTAAGAAGACGAGAGTTTTTGAGGTTTGATTCATATTTAAATTTTGAAAACTTGTAGGATTTCACAAAGTTAAGTTTAATAGAAGAATTTTGGTTTTGTTTGTTCAATGTTTGCACAAAAATGCGGAAGAAGTGAATTAATTTGATTATCTGTAGAATTATGAAGTAAAAAAGTGGTAGCGGCCATTTCTTGACCATCTATTTATATTTTCAAGAACAATTTTGGCAATCAAACAATCATCTATTATTTTATAAGATTATTATTATTTTGGCGTTTGTTCTTTTAATAATGTTCTTTTCTAACAAACAAAAAGACGATTTTTCATCGCATTATTTATCAATTGTGTGTTTGATATAAACCAATTCACTCTCAGCAAATAAGAAAATTATTTTTGAATTACTTAAACAAAGATATAGCGCAGTCAATTGATAATTGTTTAATAAACTCATTTAAAATTACCATTTGAATTTTTCTATTGATTAATTATCATTATACGGTTCCTCCGCGAGCGTTCTGCAATTGTCGCAAGATTAAAAATTGGTTGCCTCTTGATATAATGCAAAAACGCGTCTAAGTTCTTTGAAAATTCCTTTCCGCAGGCCGAAACCTTTTTCAGATCTATATAGATCTAACTAACCAATTTAAGATGAAGATGGGTTGCTTCATTGTGTTATATATTAATCATCACGATAATCAGTAAACTTCTACAATTGTCACGATAATTGTAGGAGTTACAACAATTGGTGAATTGTAACAATTACAACAAATGCCAAATTAATTATGGATAATGCTGCACAAAAGAATTTCAGCCCCTTTATAAATTGAATAAAAATGATCGGTCAAATTATCATCGGGTTATAAAGGTACAGAATCATACAGTGACAAATCTTCGAGTGCGATTACAATGGTGGACTAAATGGAAGTTTGCAGTTCTTAGATGGCAATACAATCTGCTTTCTTGCCTGTAACATTCTCAACACGATTACGGAAAACAAAGCCTTTTCCTCACCTGTCTAAGCAGTCGTGTGTAATTATTTTGGTTCACTGTAGCATATTCTCAAGAGTTTTAAGAACAATCGGAAAGATGCCACACAATATGCTGTCAAAGCCGAGGACTTTAACTTCCACCAGCGCTTCATTCTCGTCGACTTTGACATCTTTTGTGTTCTCTTTTTGGTGTGTGAACTGGATGGCCTTGACCGGCCAACAAAAGAAGACTTTAATGAAAACATTGAGAAGTGTTGAATGTAGTATTTCGGCTAGAGAAAGTGTTCACACAAATCGACGATTTGGTTTCAACATCATGACAGATGCTATAAGTATCAGTGTGAATCTGAAAAGCAGGGGACGTGATGAACTAGTGAAGGGCACAAAGCTCTGTTCAAGGTAGTGTATAAAAGGAAGAAGGGGAAGTCAGTTTCATGTAACATGAAGGAATGGTAGTCAATCACAGGCTTCACAAGGACATGGAAGAAACGGAAAACGTGGATCAAGAACGATGACAGTAAGTGTTTTCGCAGTTATTTGATTGACTGAAACATGTGGGTCATTCTGTAATTAGACATTCCTACAGTGCGGGACAGCATAAATCGACGCCTCTGAACGATATTATAACTAGTCATTCAATTTTCATTAAGCAAAAAAACTCTTTCAGCCAAAATGTTCGTTTGTTATAGTTACAATTCGACTAGAACAGTTTTTTCGTTTAATGAAAATTGAATGACTAGTTATAATATCGTTCAAGGGTGTCAGTTTATGCTGTATGCTTTTAACCAATAGGGTAATTTTTATTTGTATTTTTATAATGATGTCACAAAGTATGATTTTAGTACCCTAGCCAAGGTCGGTATCTGACCCTAACCCTTATCCGAAACTCTAATTAATATTATCACATCGGAATCGCCATGGCTAGGGTTAATGATACCTCTGAACCTCTCCAGAAATATTTCGTAAGAGTTTCAGCGGAATTTCGGTTACGACCGGTTTCAAAACTCGGCAGAGTTTTGGCGTTCTATTTACTAATAGTTTATTATAATTTCAGCAGAGTTTCAGTGGCTACTAAGGGATTTCGGCAAGCATCCTTAGCTAGGATACTAGTATGATCTCAACTCCTATCTAAAGTATCAAATGTTTATAATTTATAAAGTTCTCAACTAAAAAGTACATACGAAATTTAATCCGTGAAAATGATTAAAAAGGGCTTGAATCTACTTCTTAGTTGAGAAGTTATCCATTTTATAAAATACGCACGTTTGATGACTTTAGATTTTATGTACCATAAGGTTTTATTGGATAAAATTTAAATGACCTAGGTCATGAGTCATTAATTTGAGAAATGACCGGTCATTGTCGTTTGTCATTTGAGTCATTTCAGGTTATTTGAGTTGCCCAATTTCAAATTTACCTGATGTATATTCTCACTCACAATGATACCTTCTTGAGTTTTATGGCACCGTCTGCTGATGCTATCTAGGATGGAAGTCATACATCAATCATATTTGGGCTCAGTCACTGGCAAAATCTAAAATAATAGTAACCTATAATAGAGATTAAAGTTTTCAAGAATATGAACTGAGAGTTAAGGAAAGAGTAGACGAGTATTGTGTGTTCAAGATGTGATAACGGACTGTCATGATTCTGGCCGCTCAAAGTATGCGAGAACCACAAATTGCAAATTCTCGGGCTTTCTTTTTCACACTCTACCTTCTGGAATCGTAACATAAATGCTGAAATCCGCTACCTGTTCCTCCATATGTACTCCAACATGTCTGTCTACCGTAGAGCACTGCTTATATTACCCTCCCCTGTAAACAACTTTGCTATTTAATTTAATCTCGATTTTTAAATAAAACAATTATTTTTCTGCAACAATGAATAAACCAAGAGTCACAGTGTAACTCTTCAAAAACTCTTATCATTAAATCATTTGTTTTGAGTTTAAATTAAATGACTCCGTTCTACAGGGGATGGTATTACAGGGGCGGGTAATATAGGCAGGCTTTACTTATTTGTGCATGCAATACAAAACACCCTTATACATTTAAACAATTACAAGCTAGAGCGAGAACAAGACTATATACATGTATATATATCCATTTTTGGGTTTGTATTACATGCACAAATAAGCATACCCGTATCGTAAATTGAGACATTATCGGAATTAATTAAATGCATATTAATATTCATGTGCATATCGGTTCATACAATATAAATATCATCCTCTTTAAGACGATAAACTGCTTTTTTCAATCATACGTTAGCTTTTTGATATTTTTTTTGAGTTTAAAAAATTAACCTTTATTAGATTTAAACATATAATTATCGACAATAACGATAAATAGAATTGTTTCGACAAGTAAGAATAATTTTTTTTATGTTTAATACCTTGTTTGTATGCTGATATTAACGTTGACAATAATGCAATACAAAGATTCCGAAAACATTATTAGAAAATCGACGACTCAACTACTAAAAATGACTTTGACCAAATCTACAACGTTTGTGCTCTTTCTTATTGCCATCCTCGTAGTTTTTGTAGCAGCAACTCCATTGCCAAAGCCCGATCTCGAACAAAAAACTCCTTTCAAATTATTTCACAAACGAGATGGTAATGATGTATATACGCAAGAACGTAAATCTAAACTGTTTCCGTAACTAAAGCGAGCATATGAGAACATGAGTGTAATTGTGTCATATCTGGATTTATTCGTTTATAAACGGACACACAAGTTTGAGGATTGTGAAAGAACAAGTTTCTTTTTTTTTTGTTTACTATTCTTAGTATTTAGACGAAATTTTTCTTTTTATTAACATAACTATTTATTCTTTCGCTCTATATAAATTATCGAATATTTATGGGATTTTACAAATATACATTGATTCTATAATGTATCTCTAATAAATACATTTTACTTTCTATAATTTATCTCTAATAAATACATTTTACTTTCTCAATGTTAAGAAAAAAAACTTTCTGACGATCTGTCGAAAATTTCCAGAAGCATGTTTCTTTTTAATAAAAAGTACGAATTGGATTATACAACAAAGAAAAATATTATCGTTATTGTCATTTATTAATCCCGTATTTATTATAATTAATATTCGTAAAGAAATAGAAGAAATTTGCTGGTTCTATCAGTGATTTGTCTTGAATTGGAGTATTCATTGAATGGTAAAATAACAAAACATAGGAATTCCATTATCGTTAACGTAAACGTTAATAATTTGCTTGACCTCTATTAAATTTCACCTAACCAAATATATTAAACTTGAGACATTGTTATTCCAAAAACCTTTACTCATCTACACACATGCTCATCACACGCTTACTTTAGTTAATTATCGATTTAAATTCGGAATATGCTAATTAAACTCAAAATCCTATTGTTATGGGGACTGAAGCGACAAAATCTATCAGAGAGGTAATTGTAAGTACGTACATATTCTTTTTTTATACTGATTTGATTAACAAAAGAATTAAACAGATGAACATGTATATCTCTATAAATTATTGACTACATGTATTTACCAAACAATATCGATATGTATATCTAATTAACGTTAAGTTATGATCGTAAAACTTGCAATTTACTGTACGCTGCACCTTGAATTGGTCGTTTCTACCCTATACATGTACATGTATATCGATATTGTTGTCAAAAATGGTTAACGTTAATAATGTACATACGTATATAACGATAACGATAATAATATTGATGGTACGATGAGATCTAACTGGTTGAAAATTAATAAAGTAATGTGTACCGCACGAGATAAATTCGCACTGTGTTAAATATACTAATTCTAATTCTAATTCTTAAACAGTACATCCCATAAATAAGATACATGTATAATATTCAAACAAACAGTTTTGCACTATCGATATACATATAATATTCTCGAAAAAGTACATAATCATATACAATGAAAAAAATTATACGTAGATTAGATAAAACAAAATCATTATCTTAGCTCAGAAATGAAGTAAACTTTATCATTTGGTGCTGAATGCTAATAAAAAGTTTAAAAATTAGACTAATTAAGATATAGAATAACTCGCACCTTGAAAATTTATTTTTTCGGCAATGGCAAATTTTAAACTTACTAGCTCAGCAAATCTCTTCCATATTATCATTCTTAACGTTAAATGCTAATAGAAAGCTATATACATGTACATAGTTTCGAGATAATTATGGGTGGAATCTTGGCTGGTACTCGACTATTTGTTGCACGGAATCACGAGTTTAATTCGGTATAAAGGCGTGCTATCCATGTGATGCCCCACTGTCGCAACTTGAAGATCCTTTTTCCAAAGAAGATATTTTGTTAAGCACAACCATAGCAACAATAAAGTATAAAAGTGAATAAATTGTTTCAGAATTTAACGGAAAATTAAATAAAATTTTCTTGGTATTATGTTTTGAAAAATCAGATAAGCTTGGTGCAAATCGGGAAGTTTTCGAAAGTGTAAAACAACACATTAAATGTGCTGTTGTACAAACCCTATGCTGATTTACACTTTTAAAATTACGTAGTGTAAGCCAATACTACAAGCACATGTATAGAACAATATACGTACATGTATTTATATCAACTGGATTGTTTGATGCATATCATGTTGTTCCACACTAATTAAAATAATTAAAATTTGTATAACAACACATTTAATGTGTTGTTATACAAACCATATACATGTAGTAAATTATGAATATTGATTGTTTTTCTCTCTTAAATATGGGTGGTTGTTTTCAGTAATTCCATGCCATGTGTTGCACTGCGAGTGGAAAAATTTCGGAGATGATGCATATTAGTTCACGGATCTAAAATAACTGACAGTGAGTCATGCTACCAAAAATTCCAAGACAATCACATTTTAATTAATTCATTTTTCAAAATTAAAATAATTTATACATGTATAATAAAGAATTGCAAATCGCTTGGTAACAACTATTTGTCCTGATTCTTTGAAAATCTTTACCTCTCGTTCCATACGTTCTTTACTGATATACGATATATCCAAAGTAATCACTATAAGAAATTCCCTTGTAATTTTACATGTGTTTCCCCTGTAATCCGTTATAAATTACAGGTGGTTATGTTATACGTCGTTTCGGAATTCACGTCAATTCCGGATTGACGTACGTCGTTTCAAATTCGAAATTAACACGTAGCGATAGTGGTAGTGCGTTTTTCATTTACGTATTCAATAACGATAAAAATAGACCAATATCGTTAATGATACAAATTTCCGAAACTACGTATGCAAATCACATGCTGTAAAGTTATAAAAACAAAGTAGACCTAGCAACAAACTTTGTAAAAGCTTTGCAATTATTAATATTAATACTCAAAACTACAGCAAACAAATGGAATCAGACATGATAATCGAGCTGTTAATTTGAAGTGGGTAACTGCTGAACCTAAAGTATTTCCAAACCGTGAAAATAGAACAACCTCCAAACGAGTTGTGCAAAAGAAGTTGGAAGGAAATGTTGTTCAGGTT